TACCCTTAAAATTAGGGATGTTTTGAAAAATCATGTGAAAGGTTTTTAGGAAGTAAAAAATACTGTGTTTAATAAAAAAAAAGTGACGCAATGTCACTTTTTTTATAAAAATTGTCACTTTTTTATTTTTTTAAAAAAAGTGACAAACTAAAAAATAAAGTGATAAAACTCATAAAAAGTGACGCTTAAAAAGTGAGACAAACTCAAAAAAGTGGCAAACTCAAAAAAAGTGACAAATAACAAAATAGTATCATCCATTCGTGCAGCACCAGTAATTGTGTTCTTAGAATAATCAGTACGTTCAAGCAAATCTACGTGCTGATTATATTAGGAAAACATAACATATTTCATTTTTTTATCTTCTTAAAAAATGACAAAAGATTAAAAGGTGACAAAATTAAAAAAAGTGACGAATTCAAAAAAGTGGCACAAATTAAAAGAGTTATACAGATTAAAAAAGTGACAGACAATAAAAAAAAAGTGACACACTCAGAAAGTGACAAAATTCAAAGAAAAAGCGACAAACTCAAAGAAGTGACAAGAAAAAAAAGTGACACAAATTAATTTTTTATCCCATTCAATTTCCTAGTATATTCAAGATAATTTTTCCAGATGAAAAAATTCAGACTATTGGTAAATTAAATTTAAGAAAATTCTAAACCAAATGCAGTGCAAAACTCTAATTTGAACAAGAACAAACAAAACTGTCATTCTTAACATTGCAATTTGGTTACGCCCTTTAACTAAAGGAACTTCGAGCACAAAGGCAGTCAACAAACGCGAACGAAAAAAATAAAATATCCATCTCTTTGATTAAATTTGCAAGTATAAATGCCTTTAACTAATAAAATCAAGAAACAGCATTCATAAATACAGACATAAAGACCCCCATATCTCCCAAAATGAAACAAAATCCAATTTAAATTACAAAATTTATTAATTCTTCAAACGAAAATAACAGCCAGCTCCATTTTCTTAATAATTTACACATAATGAGTCAAATTTTCAGAATTGAACTAATTAATGAGCTATCAAACTAATATTATTCAAATAAAAAATCCCAAAATGCAGACCTTTTCTTCTTTATTTTCTGGTATTTGGCTTCAAACAGAGAAGTCTGATTATTTTACACGCACACATGAATTATGATTGAATGAACGAACGAGAAAGAGGGTAGGGAGTGCCCGTAAATGGGGGAGGTGCGAGAAGGTGAGTGCGTGCTTTTCTTTCTTCTTTTTTGGATTTTGGTGCAAATTGGTGGCATGGGTGAGGTCCTCCAGGGATGGGGAGCTGGCCAGTGGTGAGTTCCGACTAGTTTAGTCGTCGGACATGGAGATTCAGGGTTTCCACCGGTACCAATGTCCGGCACTAAAGATTGGATTTTATGTTTAAAGTGATGGAATTTGTAAGGTTGAATGGCAAAGACTTCTGGGATAGACAGCAGATATTATAGAACAAGAAGAAAGAGGAGAAGAGTGAGAAGCAGCAGCAGAAAAAAGCCAATCTTTGAAAATAAGCAAAAAGTGTTTAAAAAAAGCTGGAACAAGAAAAGAAAAACAAGGGTCTGAGTCTGGATCCTCTGAGGAATCCTCATCTTTATCTTGACCAGAACCAAGTTGTTAGAATCTCAAGAAATGTAGAAGAAGAAGAGGAGGAAAAAACCACCACCGCCGCCGCCACCAAGAGGAGGAAGAACAACTACAACCAGTAGTGCCGCCGTCGTCTCATGGCTATCACCAGCTCCATCAGTCTTTAGAGTTTTTCCAGCAAAATCAGCCATCAATCTTTGGAAGTTTAGAAGAATCATCGATGACTATAGACTGGACTGGTTTAGGGATTTGGGGGATTTTATAACGTATTAATCACGTTCTTAAATGTTGTAATTAGTTAACGGGGTATTAATCAAATAAGTTAATTTTTTAGGGTATTGGGCTAATTTTCCCAAAAAAGTAGGGTTAATTAGGCCAAATACCCTCCAAAACTAACAAATTAGAATAATACCCTAAAACTAATTAAAATCTTTAACCCCGTAATTAATACCTCCCAACCCTCCCAAAACCTTAGGAAGCCCCAAATCATCATTCCCAACACTGGCTACGAAATCCACCACCCTGAAATCATCTGCCCCAAATCGTCGAGCTCCACTGCCTCTCCTTCTACAGTGATTGTTGTTTCGATGCCGACTCCGACTCTTGTTTCTACAGTGGCTGGAGAAAAGTGGGTTGAAGAAAAAAATATCGATGAAGATCCATCTTCAAAGAAGAAGAACAAAATTTCTTCAAAATCTTACAAACCCAAGGTAGCATTAATTGTAGGAGAGGAGTGTCAATTCAGTTTCTCCTCGTGTATACGTTTTAATTTTGGTCCCTTGCTGGAAAATTGACTTTCTAGTTTTGATATTTCGTATGTGAAGCCTTTTAGAAATTTTCATAGCTTCCAAGTTGCCTTTTGTTTTGTGTAAACAAAAGTAATAGAAGGAAATTTAGTGTGGAAGTTATGGCCCCGTTAGTAGAAGTTGGAAAGCAATGTTGCTGTAAATGATTATTTCTTTCCTCCACCTTCTTGAACTTAATAATACTTGAAATTTTATTTTTACGTCTTTAGTCATTCTATAATTTACATAACTAGTTTGTAAATTGCCTTGGTAACTGTTGTAAGCATT